ATACTGGTACATACATCTAGGAACACGTGAAAAAGGAACTCAGCAACACACTTTCAAAGAACATTGTGATTTCAAAAAGTAATGTACATGTATGGCAGAACTAATATACCATGCAGAAACTATTCAGGAGCACTTACACTGAAGAATAGAATAGGCTTCTCCTTTGTAAAGAATTAAGCAGCTGATGCATGGTGTACATGTACATGCATGCTGGCAATGTTCATGTACAACAAGCAACAAAACTAGGTTCTATAAAGTACACGTGCATGTACGTGCAGACTTGAAAGTTACTTTCTAATTACTATTCATTGCATTTGTTAAATTTCACTGTTTAATTTTTAGAATGGTATGAGTTCTGTAGACACTGCAATTGTTTAGTACAGAGCTAGTTGACAGTCAAAGACACCCTTCCATTTAAGCCGCAAACTAAAAAAAAAAGAAAAAAAAAAAGGAACACAAAACTTGTTAAGATACTTTGTGTATGCATTCATGGCACTTTTCAAGCAAAGACCATATGCTAAGTGACCATTATTGAACACACTCCCTAAATCATACAAATAGACGAAATCTTTGTACTCTGTGAAAATAACTTTTTAATGACATTTCAAATTCTGATATATCTTTTACGTATATGTACATGTATGTGAAACCTTCACTTCCTGAATTTCCTTCTTCAGAACAAAAATGTTGCTGCAAGTCAACAATATCTTGTACAAAATTACAAGTACATGTACATGCGTGTACATATTTCCATCATCAAAAGCATTTATCAATCCAAACAAGCTGATAAAAGGAAAATGATCCTGCTGCCGGTATATCATCAGATTTACTGTGACCAGCAAATGTAGACCACATGCATGCAGTCAACTGACTCCCTACCATCCCTAAATTTCACAGTTCCATGATTTTCAAATTGATAAACTGGCTTTTTCAATTCAATAAAATCAGAAACCAATAAATACCTGTCTGTTCAATCTCCCCAGATGACACCTCATCAGTCTCTTTCATCTCTTGCGATTTTGCCCCCTCCTCCTGAGCCGATTCTTGGTCCATCCCCTCCTCCGTTCCCTCAGCCTTTGTTTCTAAGATCAATCCAGCTACATTCACCTCCAGATCTGTTTCATGTTGATGCGGTGAATCTTCTGCTACCTCCTCTTTTTTAGCCTCAATTTCTGAAACAAGATGAAGAAATAATTATTATTTCATGGCCAGCAAGGAAAACTTATGTACACCCCACAAAACTGAACAGTTACAATGAAAAGAGCTGGAGTCACAATTATTCTACACTAAAGAGCATACAGTGTATACATGTATGTATAATATGACTGCTTATCAGAGAGAAGTAAGAAGCAACATCTGATGCCAAGCTGTTTCCATGAATTTGATTTGATTGATACCAGCAGCAAGAAGACAACCCACCTGCCTCTCCCATAGCAATAGCAGCCTCAAATGCTTCATCTATTCCAGTCTCAGTCAAGCTACTGCTTATAGACTCACTATGCACTCTAGGTGATTCTGTTGACAATTGATAGTGGCAATATTAAATGACAATGTACAAGGCCAACAAATGTGATTACATGTAAGTAATGACATGACAGCAACTGACAATGACTCTAACAAACGACACACTTCTGGGATTACTATCTCCTGCCTCCCCAGGGTAATTTGTCATTGCACATGAATATTTGTATAAGACAAAAAGTCTACATGTACCGTACATGTACCTTCATCTTTAGGAAGTGGGTTTTTTAGTATTGGTTTTATGTTGAAAATGAAAGCATTTGAGACTCAAGAACCGATATTAACAACCATACAATGACAAAAACAGTAAGTATCTACATTGTATTTGGGCATTTTTTATCCTTGACCAAACTAAAATGTGATGGATAAGATGCAAAGCATGCTTAAGCAGTATCGTTAGTGATATGAATGTTAGAGTGGAGCAAAGCAATGTATTATCATGCTGGCATACCGTGAACCAAACTTCATGAAGCCACAAGCCATAAATGTGCAACTATCACAGTGCAAATCAAAACACTCAGTACAGGTGTTTTCAGAAAATACATGTACCGGTAAGGTGCTGTACTTGTACAGTTGATTATTTACCCTTGAACTAAAAAACTGCTCCTTTTTGTACTGAGACAGTTTTACCGTCCAGAGGTTTGTCTTATCAAAAACCTTATGAATACAGTCTGCCATTATGCACATGTACATGCACTGTACATTAACACTTGATGGAAATGAAGTCAGTATACAGTATTCTGTAACATGGGGATATGTATCAGTGATCAGACTGCGCCACCTATTATGCACATGTATCTTAAACACTATAAGGCACATTTGATGCAGTTTATGGGGTGTTGCTCCGGAGCCAAAATTTCAGAGATTTTCAACATGATAATGGATTCATCGCTGTTTCATGATTTCATAGGGTCCTATGCACACTGCAACACACAGCAAAACTGTAAGCACAACCTGTTCAAGAGATCTGAAAAACAGTGCACCCCCTCTCCACTTGAAGCAAATCAGAAAATGAAGACAAGTTGTCACAAGTTATAGAAAGGTTTGTATCTCAAGCATTAGAATTACATGTAGATGTATGCATTACACTCGAGTTCATTTTAATTGATACAGGCACATGTACATGGAACATGAGCGTCAACACTAATCTTTTATCAGAGCTTGGCTGATGATAACTAGTGTCACTGCACAATCTTTCTTGTGAGTGCCCAAACAATAAGATGTCAAATACAATTTTCAAAACCCAAGTACATGTCATCACAGAAGTTCATTTGATACCTGGTACATGTAGTTGCTCTCTTACAAAATCTTCGTGAGATCTTGGTAATGTTACTATGCAGCCCATCAGGATACTGGATGTACAAGATCATAAACCGAAAGATTGACCGAGACTATCAGTAACTTACAAAGCCCAAGTGGAGGTTGGTGGCACTGGTTTTTATTCAGACCATCTCACCTTCCCTATATTCCTCATCCATCAAGTTTTCATCAAAAGACTGGTTAAGTCGCCCTTCCTCTATTAACTTAGTCACATCTTCTTGTGGGTTGCTGGGGGAAGGGGGCATGTCTGGGGGCGGTGGAGGAACAAACACTGGCTCTTGTGGTTCAGTGGTTGGGGATGGACTCTCAAGGCTTGTGCCTCGGATTAAGGAGACAGGGCGTGGTGGTTTGGGAGGCCTTGAAGGCTTGTCTGTAGTGCAATTAGCAAATAAAGTTGCATACAATGTACATGTAAGCAAAGATGTACCAAGACCTCCAAATCAAAGAAATGACTTCAATGTCCCTTATCAGTTGAGTTGAACTTGTCAAGTATCAGAATGAATAACAACCTGTCACCTAAAATGAACATTTCAAGTCATTGAAAAGATGCAAGTATTGGCAATAACACCTTCCTTAACTTTTTCACTGATGACCATGGTTCAATTCCTACCAGATGCATCCTGAGACTTAGGCTACACAGTGTGGTGCTTCCTTATCTCTCATCACTGATGACCATGGTTCAAATCCTACCAGGTGCATCATGAGACTTAGGCTATACAGTGTGGTGCTTCATCTCTCATCACCAATGACCATGGTTCAAATCCTACCAGGTGCATCACTCGTCTCTCATCGCCAATGACCATGGTTCAAATCCTACCAGGTGTATCATGAGACTTAGGCTACACAGTGTGGTGTTTCATCTCCCATCACCGATGACCATGGTTCAAATCCTACCAGGTGCATCACTCGTCTCTCATTGCCAATGACCATGGTTCAAATCCTACCAGGTGCATCATGAGACTTAGGCTACACAGTGTGGTGTTTCATCTCCCATCAGCGATGACCATGGTTCAAATCCTACCAGGTGCATCATGAGACTTAGGCTCCACAGTGCGGTGCTTCGTCATCTCTCCTCACTGGTAAGTTTTTTCCCATTACACGCAAGGACACTGAATTAACTTTAGAGGCCTTACTGTTGTGCAAATTCATGACTTGATGGAAAGAACATTCAGAATTTGGTCACATTTTTTAAACACATGTCACATACTTGAAAATGATATCCAAATATTGAATGAATAAATTCACATGACTGGAAGTGACATTTATTTCTTTGTAAGATCAAGTCTTGAATCTGTACACGCTTACATCTTTAGGTGTTAATAGCTGGAAATGGAAACTGGTTCACAAAACAAAAAGCTGAATTCTCAACATGCACATCTATGTTCATCTTCCTCCCACTTTTAGCTACCAGTATCTTTATACATGTAAGCAAAATGATTATAGAATTGATATTAAACTACTTTTGCAAGAGACAGTTGTCAGAATGAAAGAATACAACATGGGCTCAGAATCTACTTCCACAAAATAATTACTTCAATTTTATGTTTAGATTAAATGTTCTTCATTACCAAACTGAAAACCAACCCTCTGTATAAGAGAGTTGTCAAGCTTGTATGAGAGAAACCAAATACCAAAGCCAAATATACATGTAAGCCAAAATAAACTAAAACACCATCTTGAGAAAAGGTAACAGCACATGTCAATCTGAAAGTGACAAAGAACGTTGAGAATGCACATGCAGATAAAAGTGTCTGAAATGTTCTACAAGCACAAATACACAGTCACAAACACAGACATCCTCACAAAACAGTATGAATTAGAAAGTGACAGAAACATTTTGTATCATGGAAGACTGCAAACATCCAAACAAAGCTGAACCATCAACCACAAACCTCCTTTTACAGATGTGGATGTCTCCTGAGAATTACTGATCTGTTTCATCTCTTTTGCGTCACTGGCTCTAATTGGAGGAGATACTGGACGAGGAGGAGGAAGATTAACTGGAATCTGATGAGGTGAAGTTTCTCCAAGAGATACCGACCTCCTCGGTGGAGAAGTGGGTCTGGGTGGGGCAGGGGCTCGTCTCTTTCTCAAAGTATTGTTACTGGCCAATGATGAATCTTCATCGAGTTTTTCATCATCTGATGCACTGGTACTGGTGGTGACGTGTTTCCCTGGAGGCGGGGGTGGGGCTGGTCGACGTTTCTTCAATGTATTACTCCCTTCATCTTCTTGTCCAGTAGTCTGGGTAAGGCCTTCTGATGGTGGGAGGGAAGAAGGTGATGTGTGGCGATGCGAGCGCTTTTCTTTTTCCACCGGGGGCATAACATTTGTGGGTTGAGATTCTGGAATGCCACCTGCACCTAATTCATACTACAAAAGGAAATCATACAAACTAACTCAAGCATATTGATATCATTCAATACAAGTCACAATTCAAAATAACTCAAAGATATTGATATTATTTCACTGAAAACAGATTTTGTTTCTTGAATGCCAGTCTATCTACTAAGACATAAATTGTATGTGTAGCTTCAATGACTACAGGCTGACGATGTTGAACATTGTTCACATTTACTTACCCCTTTCTTTTTCTTGGACAATTTTCCAAAGAAACTTCCTTTTTTCTTTTTCTGCTCTGGCATTAAATCTGCCTCCCCTCCTTCAACACCTACATGTAGACAAACACAAGCAAGTGTACACTGTATATGTCTATACATGTAAATATTCAGTGAACAACTGAGACTAAACATGAAAGTTACTTATTCAATTACATCATTTTAAAATCCCTCTAGACAACAAATATGAAACCTCCCTGTGCCAAAAGAAATTACAAGAACTTGTGACAGAGAGAGTTACTAATTCTCGAATAGCACTTTTTTTTTAATGTGATGGCAAACACGGCTGGTATTACTGATTTCCTACCTGCAAAGCAGGGCGTCTGAAGCTAAGAAAATATGCAAAAGGTCTACTTATAAAACTTTCTTGTGTAAGAAAATAATGGGCCCACAAGGGTCCATGGAATTTAGCCTGAGAAATAAAAGGATCAAGTCCATTCATACAAAACCAAAATTGACTGTTTTATAAATTCAAGCATCTTCCTTCATATTTCTCAGCAGTTTTCTATTCCACTGTCTACGGTGCTACGTGTAGTATCAGGAATTCAGAATAATATATGCAAGAAAATCATTTTTGAAAATTCTTTCAGTGGGTTTGTTAGTGTTGTCCTCTTATGTTTAACACACCTGCAGGCTGGCCATTTAAATCCACCAATAGAAATTCAATGGCTCCTGATTTCTCCAGAGTTTGACTCATTTCTAGGGGATCTTGAGGTTGAGTAGTGAGTCTGAGAGTATGGTTACTCAGTTCCACACCCCTCTCATCACATATCGTAGGCATCAATTCTTGTAGAGTCTTTGTAGGATCGACACGGAGACACATTTTGTGGTTTTTACTTGAAATGACTGTAATCCTGATTGTGGGCTGAAACAGGAAAAATTTGAATTTTAGGTCAATTTTACTGTAATACTTATTAGTTTGGATGGAAATGAACATGAAGTCAAGATGGGCAAATAAAGAATCATTTACTGTAGTTTCTACAGGCTGTTGTGGTTCTGATTCCATATGGTGTGCAATATGCAAATTGGGTGCTCCCATTATGCAATTGGACAATACTGCAATACGAATTGGGTCTCTACTGATATACATCTTGGTTGGTTTTTTTCTTAGAATGAAATCTCAGGATTTCCTTTAAACATGTCAAAGTGTCCTTCACTCAATTTTCTCCCATGGTATAACAGAATATAAATTTTTATAAGAAATTTGAAAAACACACAAATATCTGCTACAACTCGTAAGCATGCACACCTTTCAGTGCACAGTTTGGAAATATCTTAAGAATATTTCTTACCTCAATGACAGCAGACTTCTTTTCCTCCTTCTTGTACACAAAGACCTGTTTCTGATTTTTACGGATTATGTGTATAGTGTCACCAACTACATCAGACAACTTCTGGGTTGGTTTGAGCTGCAAAGAGGTTAGAGAGAGTGACTGAAGATGAGGCATTCATCTTGTCAAGAAGCAGGCTATTTTGGTATCGGTCATGCACACGGCTGAGTGTTTGACAGAAAGTGGCCAAGATACAGCAACATTTGTAGTGTTGCCTGGACTTGGAAGTGTAGCTAATGACTAGCTCAGTAAGCCAATAGAGGATAAAGTGACACAAGGCGGTCTAGACTACACTAACAGGAGTAGCTTGTAACTATTGTAGTAGAGCTAGCCAAATATGAACCAGGACCCACTGGTATAAGCATGTGACTGGCTTGGCACTGCTCAGCCTGACCAAACTGCGAGTTGTACCTGGTACAAGGCTTTGTGGACAATCCAGAACAAACAACTCTAGATAGACTGACACTTAACAAACTGACAGGTGCAACTTGCTCAAATAAAAGTACAATGTAACTTACCTGTACAAGAGGATCCTTGAGTCTCACACCTGGTTGGGCAATGGTGTAATTGGTTGGGTTGAGTTTATTCTTGGATGCGATCATGATGAGAAGTTCCAAGATCGGAGTACTGCAATTTAGCAACGAAGTATCTGACACATTATGATGTGGTCCAATTTAATTAATCCAAACTCCTTCGGGCTTTTTGCAAGGATACAACCTCAATCTTTCAAGCATCTACCGTTTCTTCATGTATTCTTTCAAAATGGTGCAGAAAAGACCCAGAATGTTGAGACAGTGAATGATATGCTTCAAACTCAGCCAGGATTTTGGGCAAGTTAAAATTAATGATCGCTATATTGTTAATGTCGCCCTAGTGATGTCCACATGTTGTATGCGCATGCACTCAAAACTAACCAACATTGCAAAGGCACATACATACATGTATGCAACTGACCTTGCCTCCCGTAATCCTTCAGTGATGTCTAAAATTAACACAAATGTTGTTGATAAATTACAGGTAACGTAAAACACTAAGAGTAAAATACAGCACCAGTATCATTTCATTTCAAGTACAATATACATGTATATATACAGCAAATTATATGGATGAGCATACTCTCTCTTCACTGATGCTTTGACTATTTTATCTTCTGGAAGCACCACTGTCAGCTGCCTCTCATCTCCTGATGATGTTCCTGCTGTCTCCTCAGTGCTCCCATTTTTCGTTAAGGCGTCTTTCTCCAGTTCAGACAAAGAACCATTCTTGTTTTCCTCAAAGGATGGCTTCTTTGTAGGTGGTGGTGGGGCACGGCTTCGTTTAGATCTATCACAGAAATATAACCAATTTTGTCTTTCAGCCTCTGAAGAAGAGCTTGCCTAGTTTGAAAGGTCACAATGCACTATTTTTGACAGAAATATAACACTTATAAACTAAAACTTCTGCTGATTATAATTACAGCCTTTCTCTTCCAGAGAGGCTGTAAGAGGCAGACATGTACATGTATGCAAATATTCTTTTTTTAAAAATTTTGATTTACCCTAAATTTTTTCAACATTACGGTAACTGTGGTAAAAGGTTTGTTGCATTAAAGCAGGGTACCAGTACACGTACCTTCAGTGATTGCATTTTGAACTAACGGTGGTATATTGTGCAATGGTGAATACGTGCATGTCATTAACTGCGATCTACCGGTACCTAGCTGAGAATGGTTTGAAACATAGAACTTTCTTCATTTAATTTTCAAAAGGTCATTTCCATTACTCACGGTTGATGATTTGGGATTTTGGTTGTTTCTACAGACATTCTAAATTTTCCGAAGTATTTCAAGTTATGGTAATATCAGCATGCATTACATCTGACAACTGATCGCCTGCCCAAGACTGAGGACTTCAACCTGGAGATCAAAAAAATGAAAGGTTGGGAAACATGTATGACCCATATTTATACAATATTTCAAAACAATGTGTATGAAGAAGTTGACATCTGAGAAGTTATGAGTACTATGTACAAATGTACATGTACAATGTACGGTACATAAGTATATAGATGTACATGTACTTCAGGCCTTCCGTAGGCCTACAATTAACTGTACAGTGGACACGGAGGTACTCGTATGGTACATGTACAGTATATGTGCATAAACTCGCATTTTGTTGATTGTGTACATGCATTTTGTTGATTGCAGCAGTGAACACAATATCCATGTAAATGTCTGTATGTCTGCACACGTGTTCATGTCGGTGTTGAACCCTGTGGATTCAGCAGGTTTCACAAATCAACAAAGTTCTGTTTGATGAGGTTGGGTCATACCAGTACATGTGTACATGTACATGTATATCAACACCTGTTTGATAATGTTCGATTCAACAGAACTTTCTGCAACCCAGCTACAATTTACAACATGAGAAGACCAGATGCAAATGTACATGCACAGTGTATGCATTAACAAACAAAACAACAAGCAAAAATTTTACAGTGTCAAGTAAAAAGCCAAATAACCCAATAACACATTTATAAAAGATTGGACAATGAGTTGGCAAATGCTGCTAAACTTCATACATGTAACATGTACAGTACAAATTTGCCCTCCTACCCTACAATCTTTTCGTACATGTGAGCCAAATTTTGTCTGCAGTGACAGGAGACTGTTGAACAACTGTGAAGTACACATACTGGTATACTGTGCTTTGATGTTTGAACTTGATAACCAACCTAATTCATATGAAAATAACAGTTGTGGACATCAATGGAGATAAATACTATAGTTCATTATCATTTACAAACATGTACATGTACATGTACATACTGGCAGACGTGTACAAAATGTACATGTAATTGCCCATTGTTAAATGTACATGTATGTACATACACCTGAACAATCCAAGTACATGTATAAAAACTCCTCTGTCTACTACATGTACAGTACATGCATGAACATGTACAATGTACATGGTGCAATGTACACGTACATGGACTGGGGTACATGTACATTGAACGTGAGAACCCTTTTTTATCAAATTATTATATCAAAAGAGTACACACCTTAAAAATGCAAGGAATTCAGAGTAAAACCCATCAAATCAAAAGAAACCAACAAGTGTGTTCCTATAAAGTATAACACAGACACACAAGGTACATATATATACACGTACATGTACACTGTTGGTGTAAACATCCTCCAGCCTCTCATTTCAATCTTGACATAATTATTTCTAACCCACTGTACTGTGTACATGTACATGTACTTCACACATGCCCACACATGGGTATACATAGGTTTATAAGGAAAGGAAGTACAGTATTTGACTATCAAATCATATCCACAAGGTCAAATACTTTGCATACCAGGGCTATTTTTATTTAAACTTGGAAGTCAAAAGCACGATTATTATACAAAGGCAGTGTAGGCATGGATTCATCAGTTGGTATTTCTTTTGTCACACACACACATCACTGTGTTTGCTACATTTACATGTAGCAGACATTTTGCATTATTTTGTTCACAGGTTGACAATGAGCACAAGACCAGTACATTGTATCTGTGTACCAGTACCTTGGGTAACCTACATGTACATGTACAGTACATATATACTGTACGTGTACATGTATAGCTCCAGGTCTATGCGATTGAAGGTACATGTATTAATGTACAGTAAATGTACATGTACATTGTGGATCATCCCACGGTGAAATCTATTGTGTAACAAACTTACTTTCAATGCACATTCCATTCTGTTGTTGAATGGGTTTTGAGGTCAGATCTAGTGCGGTTAAGCATAAGATATGTTGAAGCCTGACTACAGTGTGGTGTAGAGTAGATATTAAACCGATGGACACTTTACACAAAGTGTTCACCTACCAGTACAAAGGTACATGTATAGTACTCTTATTGGGCTTCTCACATTGTATCATTTGTCTCAATTAACTTCAGCTACCAATCTCACAAAATTAAGAAGAGGATAAATTTCCTGTTTCTCTTGAAACAGTGATTACAGTGATTGGTACATGTAGACTGTCAGATTCAACCTTTAAAACCCAAGCCCGCTAGGGACCATTGAAATCCTGCATAACCTTGTTGGGTTCAGCATGGTTAGGGTTAACGTGTACACTGTAGTAGATGATGGTAAGCTCATAGCTTCTTAACCAGTTAACATCTGATTTCCTTACTGGAAAAAGCTGCTGGGGTAGGTCTTATCTCCCGCAAGTTCTTCAACTTTGCAATTTACATTTATTTATTTGCGACGATCATAAAATACCCAGTACATGTACAACTACAAGTAGAAATGCACAGCTCTTGATTTAAGGCATTAATATTTTCATTCTTTTCACGATATTTTCAAAGTAATGCCCAGGTAAATATAGTGGTAGGTGTCCACACGTCAACCAGTTCACATACAAAAAGTTCCATAGCATACATGTACACACTCTAACAGATGCCACCCATGGTCATGTGTCTTTTTTGCCGATTGTTTCGGTATACATGTAAAGTAGCTGCTACTGTAGTTGTAACCTTATCTTTTGTAAATCACCGGTAGTTTCACTCCTTACCAAATCAGTTTAGCCAAGCAAAGGAGATCTTTACTCCCCTTAGCTCTTTTGTGTATGGTGTGGACTCCCCAATTCAATTGTAATTACTCAAGAAAGGCATTTCTGTTTTATTGTTGGTTGGGGGTGGGCCACTTAGTAGCAGCATCGGCATGTAGGATCGTCTTCCGTGCTTTGACCCAATCAAGCACGAGTTAACATGTTAACCGTGGAAATGAACAAACATTCTTAAATGAGTGGTACATGTACACATCCTCCATGAAACAAATAAGGAAGATTGTGTGCTAACACATCATCCAGTGTCAAGTGGTTAACATGAATGTATCCATCCTTCTATCAAATTCACGATTTAAATGGCAATAACTGCACAGTTACTACACATGTTAAGGCATGCATCCAATCATAAATGTATAGGGGGACATTAACACACACCCCTCCAAAAAAGCAACCCTAAAAAAATTTGAATCACTGTGAGAAAAAGGCAAACTTCTTTTTTATTCTATTTCTCTTCAAAAAGAATTCAAAAGTGTTCAGTTTTTGTACTTGTGCCAGTTCCTTACTAAATACCCAGCTTATAACACAGTTCATTATCCTGGACTAAATTTTGGAATATTGATGTGAGGTCTTGGTGCTATTAACCCTAACTGCCCACAGGTTGCTGGACCTAACCTTCCCCATTCACACAAAGTTGACTTACATGTAGTTTTTCTGAGGTATGCCAAACCCAATGCAAAAGCCAGCTGTCTGGGCCTACCAGACCTATCCCCACAGAATTAAACACTTTACTACTGTTAAATTCTGTGTGGTTGGGGAAGGTTAGGGTTAAAAAGAATCCCTCAACTGACCCTTAATGCCATACTTTTTGAGATTTCATTTAGGCTGGCAGATTTCATTGAAAGACTTGCAGGACCAGAAAGTATTTTATTAAATCCAAATTCAAGATAGGAATGATGAACTGTGATCTAAGCTACCGGTTCATTTGGGTGGAATCTGAAACCTAAGAAAATTGAACTGCACAGCAAAACTTGATAAAAATGGCATAGTGTCCCTGTAAAATCCACAAGAGTTTTTCTTCAAAATATCTGACCAAACAATTTAAAAATGCTCTGAAACATTTCAGAACCAGAAGAGTCAAAAGTGCCTGGTACATTTAACAATTATGTATACAGTGTACATGTGTTGCATGTAGACCTACATGTACATGTACATATATATATAAATAAGATATATGTACATTTTATACATGTACATGTACATAAAATAAACCTTTACAACAGTAGGCCTACAGGTAGCTGTGCACATTTTTAAAAAACCTATATGTGCAGGATCAGCAAAACACCCCATGTAGTGAAAGCTGATCCAGGAGTCACTTGGAAGGGCACAATGTTAGAGCCAACTCTGCCTTGGGGGTCTAATCACTATGGAAACAGCTTAAGGTCTTGACTTTCTGTACATTCAAGGGCAAAACCCACATGATTAATAACACAGAAAACTGCAAATGTTGTTTATATTGCGGTTTACTCCATTTAAAAGGCACCAAGTATATTGCAGTTGGAAAACTTCAAATTATGAAAGCAATAATAAACTTACTTTGTCACTGTCAGGAAGTTTTGCTTGTTTTTACAGTTTAATAGTACATGTACATGTAGAGCACAAACATGCATATTGTATTGTATATAAAACTGCAAATTTATTTCTTGGTGTCTCTACATACAAAGTTCTGATTTAAGTACACTTTAAATAATTGGGCATTTTTACCCCAGTTGACCCTATATAAGTAGCCACATATATCGGGAGCTCTCTCCTCTTATTTACACTTTGCTTGTAGTTGTATTGGCCAAGGGTTCAATGTACAGTGTTCTACATCTGTAATATTCAATGTAAAGAGCCTAGTACAGGGCAAGCAAATTTCCAAAAGTTCTAAAGCTGTTCAAAATTCTTATTCCAGGGGTAGGCCTATCTATAAAGCACAAACTGGAATACTGGGCTTGGTATGATCGTTCGATTTGCGTGATTGTACTTAGCTAAAGAGTTTAAAAACATGAAAGAACCAAATATGTGAGCACGGCATCATGGGCAAGAGTCAACTACACAAATTGTAATTAACATCACATACATACATGTACATTATAAATTCCCTTCGCAGTGCGCCAGCTATTCATCTGCATGTATCTTAGCTTACATGTACTTCTTTGGGAAAGAGTTCCATACATGGATGATATATAAATATACAAG